TTTATTGAGATCATCTTCAGGGCTCAATAAAAGATCGAAACGTTGGCACGATAAAGAAAATGTTTTTCTGAAACCTACATCACACCCGACCGCATCTCACGATATCTGAATAACTTTAAAATGAGAGATGAAATAGAAACAATTTTTTTTTCATTTTTATTACCGATTAGACTCGCTTACAGATTAGCGTTCTGTTAGGCTTATAGGCTTATAGCAGACCACCTCCAGACCAGGAGGACTGATTGTTTTCTGTCTGGCCAGATCTTAAAATGTGCCAAGTGTAAATTCTCAGGAAAAATTGATAAGATAAAAATTTAAATTTTATAGAAGCATGTTTTCCCTGCATATCGATTATGAGAGAATTTGTAGGGGATGAAAACCCTGTTATCTTTTTTGTTAAATATTTACACATAAAGATAATTAAAGTCAATAAAAACGTTTTAAGAATAGAAAGTTTTCGTCTTTCATCTGTATCATAAGATTTATTGTGATTTACAGTGGTAACATGAATGCGCCCTCAATTTCTGACGGGGGTCCTTTGGATCCTTTATCATTAAACCGTTTTTTTTTTCTTTCTGGCAAGAAAAATACACATTTCTCGTAACCACGGTTTAATTTGAGTTACATTATTACACGGTTTTACATCCCACCTTCGGTTAAAACACTAAGTAATAAGAGTTTAACGATATGATTAATTGCGTAAATATACGCTGCGGTCGGAAAAGGGCCACCCCTTTTCCATTTAGGGCCGCAAGGATAATTAACATGGAATAATTTACATACACGATAATCTTTCATGACAAAGGCATCTAATTTATAAGGATCCCACTGAGAGAAGGTGAATCGAGAATTTTAAGTCCGCCTGACCCTCTAGGATTAATTTCAACTTTATTATCTTCGTTAGTGGGCTACCCACGATTTTGCCGAATTTACCCAACTCGCGGGTCGAATAAAACTGACCTCCACGCTTTTACAATGAACCGAGCTCATTTATCCTGCTCTCCTTCACATCATCCAACGGCCCTCTTTAAATTTAAATGAGGCAATATTTTGAAACGAAATTAAGCTCGATTAAGCGAGAGAACAATCCCATACGGGGCGATAGTCAATTGAAGGACACCCATAGGAGAGTACTAACGGAATTTTGTAGGAAGTTAAATAAAGAAATAAATTTATGAAGAAAGGATGAGATTTTTTCACTATAACAAATTAAATTCATACATGCGTTCACCCTATTCCTCGATAATCCTGGAATACCTGGGGGACATGCGCTGCCCCCTATTCACGCTAATAATTTCATTCACACTTTCATGTGCATTACCCACAGTACTCGATATTCCTTGGTATAATTGGTGATAACCCCTGCCATTCGCGCTAATAAATGACATATACACTATCCCAAAGTACTCCTTATTTTTCGGAGAAATTGGATATAAGCCCCTTTCCATTCGCGCTGATAAGTTATATTTACACACCACATAACATTTACACTATCCCAGACTACTCCATATTCCTCGGGATACTTGGCGATATGCCCCTTAATTCACGCTAATAAATTATATTCACTCTACCCCCGATTCCTCCATCGTCCTTTATATATTTGTATTTATATGACTAATTAAGAGTCGATTGGAATACTCAATGTTCCACTGACACCCCTTTATCATTATACATCCGCATTATACATCATAAATACAAAGTCGATTGGGTAACCAATATTCTCACACTACACATTTATGCAAATAAATTCATTAAGAAAAAACAGCCCTGTTTCCTCCGTATATCCGAACTAAATAATCTCTACAATGTTTAAAAATGTGTGGTGATTAGTGACCGTTAATCGATATTTATTTAGAAATCGTGAGATGCGGTCTGGTGTGATGTAGGTTTCAGAAAAACATTTTCTTTATCGTGCCAACGTTTCGATCTTTATTGAGATCATCTTCAGGGCTCAAAGTGTTTGTCTTCTGTGCAATTGTGTCATTCTTGCGTGTCGTGGGCATTGTCGACACGACACGTAAGAATGACACAATTATACAGAAGACAAACACTTTGAGCCCTGAAGATGATCTCAATAAAGATCGAAACGTTGGCACGATAAAGAAAATGTTTTTCTGAAACCTACATCACACCAGACCGCATCTCACAATTAAAAAATAAATAAATAAAAACTCTACAACGATCATGTACGATTCTCATGTCGGATGGCAATCTTACAAGCTCTCTTTTTGGAATGGCACGTTCAATTATGTTCAATCGAGCAACCTTTTACATGGGTTGTCCGTGTGTCAACCTCGCATAGCTTATTCCATGATGATGATCCATTCTTCTTCTTTAATTCAGATCCTCCGAATACCACCCATAGACGTGTACTCTTTATACGTGAGAGAGCAATTAGAGATAAGCCCCTCCATTCTCGCTAATAAATTACAATACACAACAGAAATCATTCAAACTACCCCAGAGTACTTGTTATTCCTCGGGGAAAAGCCTCTTCATTCACGCTAATAAATACTGTCGTTCCAATGAATAACACATATCACATGATGAAGGTAAAAAATCTACATATAATTCACTTATTTATGTTCCTGAGATATTGGATCAGCGATCTCTGCATGCTGCCGTGCCTCAAGTCCTTTCGTTTCCTATTTTTTCAGACTTTGGCATGTTACCAGTGTCTTCAGATTTTACAGAATACATTTTCCAGAGTAAAAAAAAATTCAATATAAATTACTGAAACAAAAGGTTAAGTCAGGATAAAAAGAAACAGGGAATTTCAATTTGGCAAAGCAATAAAGTTACCATGAATCACTTCGGAGGCGTGAGGGTTTCCAATCAAGAGAATTCACTTAAAAACGCTCCATACCATTGTAAAGAAAATAGAACATTTGCACTTTGTCTTATCGCCGAAATGTCATGCTGTCAGTTTGAATGCAAACGGAGCTTTCTCAGAAATTCCGCTCGATCGGCGTTGTCGCCATCTTTGTATATTAAACAGGTCTCCATGGTTGTCACTATACACGCGTTTGACGAAGTAAACGTCGAAATAAATAATTAAATATGTAACTTAAAAAGTGGCATCGACAAAAGTATATGAAACGATTGACGTTAAAAATTCGATCATTGTTCAATGTAAGGTATAACCCCAAAATACCAATCAAACTCATTAGAGTATACTTCGAGAAGTTGCACTAACAAAAAATCCTGATAAGAAAAGTCAGCCATACAGTCAGTTAATTCGTCCAAAATTCGGGAAAACACAGCAACCTGGCAATTTCTTGGTTACCTGGACAAAATTGAGTTCTGAGTTATGAAAAAAAAATTCCTGCGGAGGATCTACAAGAACATATATAAATAGACCCAGAACCTATAGTTGTGATAACAAGAACAAACATAGATTTCTCTCGAGACCTCCAGATGATCATGGAATTCAGTTATGCTTTAACGAGATTTAGTTGCCTTTTTTGCTCTAAAGTTCATTACAAAGAAGAACCATGAAAAGTGTTTGGTTTTATCCGGTGACTGTAGTGTGAATGGAAAAAGGGCAGTTCAATAAAAGTTATGCCAATTGATTTGAGAAACCATCGCACGTAAATTTTTTGATTATTATCTAATCAGCCCTCATGTGTTCTTAACGGAAAAAGGCCATGCTATCCTAGTGTTAAAGAAAGGGATCGTTTACTATGGATTTTTCCCAGATGTTCGTTCGGTACATTTTCAACTTTACTGTGAACTTGGAAAGAATTTGAGAACCGTCAACGAGAACCACCATGTCTGGCCTGGTTTACAATCTTTTTTTAGCGACGAGAGTATTTCTACTATGAGGTTATTTGAACCCGGTGTTTTTGAAAAAAGCCCATTACTTACGTATGTCGGGTTCGACTCTGGGACATTTACCTTATGGTGATGAGCGCCGTGTCAAGGCCTAAATGCCATAGGGCCCACCGACACCCCTTATCTGCAACCTTTACAAGACCATTACAACCGTCTTCACCTCATCATCATTGGTTGCGTGTAACCCAGGTACTCCGGCCTTCTCCAAAGTAACAGCTGTTGAGCTGTCGGTACAAGTGAGGTAGTGGTTCGTTGAGTGCCAAAGAGGGTTTCCAGCGTTACAGCTTATGAGTTTGACCCAAATGGTCGGTTGATTCTAGGCTTTATTGAATAAAGGAATCGAGTATTATCCTTTAAGACAATTCTCGACTTGTCATGGAATTTTACCAACACCTTCTCATCTCCACCCTATATCCCAGTCCTGGCCCCTTCAGACTACCGTATTTTTTGGGCAATGGTTCGCTTTTTTCGAGCTATACCTTTAGGGGCTTCAACAGCTGGCTATTACAAAGGAACTTCCTCCCATGTTAAAAATATTATACATATACAAAAGTTTAATTTATCTTTTAAAACGTTCGTCTTTATCGGCTCACTCCAATATTGTATATTCTTCTTTATATTTAGTTTTTCTTAAAGTGCGGATGTAATAAGACAGTACTATAAAAAATAAGGGAGGAGGGAAGGAAAATAGCAACATCCACGTGAGTAAATAACAGCAGGAGAGGTGGCCAGGTGACCCAACCCCTTTGATCCTCGCCCTAATGAAACAGGAAAAGGCCTATGTAAAAATATTTTCAACCGTCCTACCTTTTTACAGAATAACATATAAATAATGTTGTATATTATTCATTTATATATATATTTATAAATAATGTTTAATTTATAAATTTAGCAGCTTTTATGTAGCGATTTTTGCGGTACTGCCTGAACCCTCTTTTATTTCTATTGTGTATTTCAATTCACTGTGTGCTCATTTGCTGTTGCATACGTGTATTAATTATCTATAATTTTAAATTGTTGGCTGTTGTTAATCATATATAAACTTGGCTTTATAATAATTTAAAAGTATCTTTCTGGTAGGGGCGAAACGATTAAAATAATTTAATTTACCTTGTTTGTACACCATTTATATGAACGTTTTTAAAAAATTATTTTGTTATTTTCAGGTTCTGATGACATTGTGCCAGACCCGATAAAAGGTGAGTTTTTTTTTTTTTTTTTTTTTTTTTTTTTTTTTTTTTTTTTTGCATATCCCCAATAATTATCATAAACAATCTTCATATTGTCAAAACTCCTTACTACGTGACGATCACAATGCGCTCAACATTTCTTTTGTCTGAGGTGTTTTGATCCCGCTTCCAAAAGATCCACACCAGGCTTTCTACACATCCTAATCCTACAGCCAAAGCTTTATCTACACTTTTCCATCCTTAGAACCCTCCGAGTCGTATTAAACGACTATAGCCTCGAGACCTCCTACCCAGTTAATCCCTTATATGGAGAGTAAAATGTCACCAGTAAAAAAAAAAAGTTTATCCATATTTTTCCATATATATTTTAATATGTACAGGCTATCAAATAAAACATTTATAAAGATAGCAGTTTCATTTAAAATAATTTTCAGATTTGATTATTGCTTCCTTGTTTTAATAGTGAGCAGACAGTCATTCGAAAAGAATTTATACGTATACGCGTCCTTGAGTGCATTCATGCATCTTAACTTACCTTGGCTCTACTTGTACAAAAGACCTTTCCAAGTCAAGTAAATGGCAACTCTGGCTTAGCGGAAATGCTTAAAAAAAAACTTCATTGTAACATATCAAACAGTTCCTTTTTCACTAATTACGTTCATTCAATTCTTTTTTTTTAATTTAGAAAAGTCGAACAAGATTTATTATAATGATGTGCATAAGAGGCTTACAGTGCTAGTTATCTTTCTAAATAATTTCATTTTAAACGAAACTTAATTGGATAAAAGTTGCAAAGTCAAAATTCCATAAAGCATTCCTGTTTTGAACTAAAATTGGCGTTAATAAAAATAAATAAATAAGTAGTAAAATAAAAAATGCGTCAGATAATTGTGCACAATATATCTTTCTGGTTTTTTCGTTCCAAAAGCTTAGAATGAAGGAATAATCCTGTAGATGGGGAGGGAGAGAGAGAGAAAAAGAGAGAGAGAGAGAGAGAGAGAGTGATGAAGAGGGAAAGATGGAAAGAGAGTAATAGATGAAAAAGGATTGAAATAAAAAATGGCAGTGTGTAAAAGAGGTGGGATGGTAAAGAGATATGGCATCTAGAAGGTGAATACATTCTGAGCAAGAAAAAAACAAGAAGAAATAGAGAAAGAAAGGGAGAGAGAGAGAGAGAGAGAGAGAGAGAGGGAGGGAGTGAGAGAGAGAGAGAGTGAGAGAGAGACAGACAGTGAGAGAGAGACAGACAGTGAGAGAGAGAGAGACAGACAGACAGACAAACAGACAGAGGGAGACAGACAGACAGAGAGTGTGTGAGAGAGAGAGGGAGGGAGGGTGGAAAGAGAATGTGTGGTTTTAACATATGCGCTTTTCCCAAATAGGGCGCATTCCTCGTAATAAGGGGGTTGTGCTTATAAGTTGTAACATTATTATAACTTGTTAAAGCCATCCTAATTCGAGATGAAATGAAATATTATTGAAGCGCGCATTTTCCAACTATGCCACTTCATCTCCTAGGGGTCGTGCTTTATAAGGTACTGTTAGTTCAGCAAAACTTACATTTAACTGTGCGTCAAATTACAAGTGTACTCCCTGGTTTTCTCAAAAACAACCTAGAAAGAGATTAAAAAACATTAAATTGATTCCTATGGTAAATATGGTTTTACCGAACATTGGTATTTGAAGTACTTAGGTATAGAGAAAGTAGAGGTATTATTATGTCTTGTTATATTTATTTTCATTGTTTTATTTTTTTTTGTTTTGAAAAAAGCCCATTTAGAAGCACGTCGGGTTCGAATGCAGGTCCGCTGGACTCCTAATCATTGCAGCGGCTCCCTCTGAAGTTATTTTCCAATGGTTTTTCTCTATTTTTCACAAACGTCAAGTGGATCTAATAAATCTGCAAAGAAAACACTTCTTAGGTTGAGTTGTTTTTGAGAAAATTGGGGATTTTTGAAGTCTAGTTAAGAGAAAGCTCTGTCACACATGTTATTTCCTCAACATTTGTTATGAGCGTAAAATTTTCGCCAGCTTTCTTTTCTTTTTTAAATAACAAAAAAAAAATTCACAGAGCCCAAGTCGTGCAAACTAAATATCAAAAGTTGAACAAAAATTCATTTTATGACTTAATAACAACACAATGAATTATGACAATTAATTAAGGTTTTTAGTTGAGATGAAAAAAAGTTAATGGCACGAGAGGGATTCGAACCCACGACCTTCGGGTAGATACCTGTCTAGAGCAGCGGCGTATCTAGCCGAAGGTCGTGGGTTCGAATCCCTCTCGTGCCATTAACTTTTTTCCATCTCAACTAAAAACCTTAAATAATTGTCATGTATTAATTGGTCAAGCGGACCACGAAAGTAGTGAATTAACAATGAATTATTTTCCAGTCTTACCTTTTTTCAATATCTAACGCTTTTCTGAACCTATTTTCAAGGTATTTCCCCATTTTTGACAAAAACCAATTAAACTTAATGAATCTGCAAAAAGCATGCACTGTTTAATTTATCAAGATTGAGTTGTTTTTTAGAAAACCAGGGGAATTTTGAGGATTTATGAAGAAGAATACAGTCACACATGTTATTTTCTCAACTTATATTTTTACTATTTAAACTGGTTTTATTATTATTTTTCAATGTCCCAAAATAAAATATTCCAGAGGGGTAAAGTAGTACAAGACAAATAGCAAAGCGCAACAAAATTTCGTTTTTTGGCTTAAAAACAATGGTGAAGTATATTTACAGTATCTCTCTTCATTTTGGAATATCTAATGGGTCATTAATGGGTGTCATGTTGAGAGAGGCATTCTACACACATCTACACAGAAAACAAACATTTCGAGCCCTGAAGATGATCTCAATAAAAATCGAAACGTTGGCACGATAAAGAAAAGGTTTTTCTAAACCAGACCGCATCTCACGATCTCCAAATAATTGTTAACTAACTTGTCACTAAACACCACACAATTTAGACAATAATTACTAATGAATTTTAATGGATCATAATGGATTTATTATAAATAAATTAAAAATGCTAGGGATAGGAAATACTATTAAATTAGCAATATCCGTATTCATTTTTGAGCAGTTCAGTTTGACAAGAGGCTTTCTCTCGACTTGATCCGCAAACTATTCTGCAATCGATTTCTAAAATTTTCTAAACAAAGATCAGCTTTTCATACACAAACGAAGGCAAAAATACCGAACAGTTATAAATAAAGTAAATTTATATTTTATAATTTTCTTTACTATCAGTTATGAGTTAGACAGATTTTGAAATGGTTTTCCTTTTTCCATTCTTTTATTTTTAATTTCTTCTTAAATACATGGTTTGATTGTGTACATCTTCAACTCATAAAATCGGCAAGATGGTCGTCGATAAATGTTTTTAAATATCAGTTGTCAATGCATGGCCTGTTTTCAAGATGCTAGGAGCTAAAATGCTACTTTTTTCACTTCTCTATGATTTTTTTTTAAATATTAGTTTTTGCAGTGTTTTAAAGAAATGATTATGACTTAACACCACTGATTAATACAATTAATTAAGGTTTTTAGTTGAGATAAAAAAGTCAATGGCACGAGCGGGATTCGAACCCACGATCTTCGGCTTGATACGCCGCTGCTCTACTACTTGAGCTATCGTGACCTCAATCCACTCGGACACCAACCACCCATCTCAACCACACCTTTTGAATTTTCCCTCCTTTTTGCCATTTTTCATTAATACAATTTAATTGGTGCCTGATTAATATTGCTTCTAGGTTGAGTGGGTTTTTAGAAAATCAGAGGGTACCATACACATAGGTACGATGTATTTTCATTGCTAATCACCTAGAAATGGGACTTGTCTATCGGGCTAAAACGCGCCGGTATAAAAATTATAAATAATTAAAAATTATAAATAACTTTAGCCTTTTTGATAGTTGTTTCTCTTTTTCTTAGGAAAAAATTTCCTAAGCAAGACTTGGCGTTTTACTGATACATATTTAATATTTCACCGCAATATTTACACTTAAAAATAAACACCACTGGTTTTTTTTTGTAGGGAAGAATGTGCGAAGAAGTATCAGTATACGGAACCTCACCCCCTTTCAGAAATACACCGCCCTTTCGGTATTAATGACCTGTCATTCAAGGATAATCCTTTATTTTTTGCCCGTCCACAGGATTGTTTTCTCCCTTTTCCGCCCCCTTTCTACGGCACAGGTTTAACCAACCTTACAGAATCTATCATGAATGAAATGATCTGTAATTTTCCCATCATTTTTCAACTGTTTTCATTTCACATCTCGGAAACAAGCGCAATAAAACGATAAACTTTTATATACAGGTGGTTACACAGGTCTATCCTGTTTCCGCCCCCCCCATATTTTTTTTTCAATTTAACATCTAAAGCCTTTTTTTGGTAAATTCTTAAGTCAGAGGAAATGACGTCAATCGAAATTTTGAGCTTTATACCCTGTGATTTAAGATTAATCCACATCATGTATTTATAGAATTTCTCTCGGGAATTGGGTTAAAAGCACTAAAGTCGTTAAAAAATTTAAACAGAAAAATTATTCACAACTGTAAAATTGCCATTGTTATAATTTTTTTGGGTACGCCTTTTCCTTCCAGTGCCAATGACGTTTCAAAAAACTGGAACATAATCACCCGCATCTTAAAGGGTTAAGGAATGTGTGACGATTCTGTAATTTATGAACTCATTATTTTCAACGTTTTATTATTCCTTGGATTTTAAACGATCGTAAAATAAAACCCGACCTTCCCGGGTTGAAACAACTTTAACAAGAAACATTTCCAATACATTTTAATGAGTATTTATGACATCCTTTCTATTTATATCTGATTTTCTTTTGGGGTAAAAAAACATTCAAATTTGATATTTCTTATAAACCGGTTGCAAATAGGGTTTGACGGCATACGTGGAAATTATTATTTTCACTTATCAATAAAATTGAAAGGTAGGTAGAATATTTGGGGCGAAGTCGAGGCAAACAATTGAG